ACTGAATTTACATGAGGGACTAATTGCAGCCACATACCAAGCTGAGACAGGGAAGGGCTTGAAAAAACCAATGTTCGGAGGCGTCGGGGTAAGCCACTCGGAACTCATCCAGGTTGTGTCGTCGAATTAAAGACGAGGTCAGAGTGTATGTTGCATATTGACAAAGGGTAGAAAATGTCAATCATAATGACATTAGGCTCTTGCGTTCATGAGCTGTAGGAGAAGAATGGATGTAGAGGAAGGATAATAGACTAGTCGAGCTATCGGTAGCTGTGCTGCAAACCGAATTCGAGACCACGCACATCCGTTGGGTTCATTCTTCTTCTTTTTTATCCCCCTTTTTCTTTTTCTCTACGTATCTAGCATCAAACATACATAAGTAGTTTATATGCGGGCTATAGCTCCGGTGACACTGCAGACAGTCTATACATCTCATTGAACTTTGCTGGGAGGGGGGTGTGTGTGTGAATATAAGCTGAGCATGCACGTACTTGGGAGTAGGTACCCAATAATATACATACCACATGTGATTATCTCTCTGCTGATGCTTGACGTACCTCAAGTTTCGAAATACAGATACAATACCTGGCATTCACACTAACAAGTATCATATAAGAATTGCCCCACATCGACTCAATGGTACCTCAAAAAGGACCAAACTGATTGATGCACATAAGAAATCCTCCTGTGCGTATTTGTGCGCTTGGTGCACCACAGAAACTGGCAGGCTGAGAGTCTGGGAGTGCTATGTATGCCTCGACAAAATATCGATAATTGTCTATAATGAGGCCTAGTTGAACCCACCGTGACTAGCTAATTAAGTTGTTTACAGTCGAGGGGTCAGGTGATTGTTAAGAAACAATACGACAAAAAGATCTACCAAACCATGACTTTGTGAATTCAGGTGCAGGCAATTTTGTTCATATGCTTTGGATTAGGCTCTACTAGGTACAGCCTCACCCTGCCACTGTGCATACCATCCGACATACCATACCCATCAACAAGGAGAGACAGGCAATAATACCATGGCTAACAGTTCCTACGAATCATGAAACATTATTCATATGTAGGGCTCTTTCTTTAGGGCCATTGCAATCATGAGGTGGGTTACCTCATTCACTGATCCTTGGCTCTCGTTTTCAGAGTTTGGCCCGGTCGGCAGGCAGCTAAAAGGCATGCTGCTTGGTTACTGCGGATCGCCGGGGGGCCACACAGCGTCAGCAGATCACATTCAACTGGCTCAAGTTGTTGGTGACTTCTTTCTTTCTTTCTTTCTTTCTTTCTTTCTTTCTTTCTATTTTTTTTTTTACCCCCGAGTTACTCTCAGGTGACTGCAGCTTTGCTGTCTCGGTGAGGCTGCTCATGTAACAACCATTGGCCACCAAATGGTCAATTCTACCACTGCTTCAGATATCCCTCCATGGTTCATGATGTGATTTTCGTGAAACAGACTAGGGGCCCTGCTGGGACACAAGTGATACCGAGCTCTTAATTACTAGTTCAGACTCAATGATGGTTTACTATCTGATAATGATGAGGACTGCTGCAGGCCAACAAGCAGGGGTAGAACGGTAGACCAGTAAAATGGATGACATCGATGGCTTTGTTTTCATCATTGTTGTTTCGGAAAGGCCTGCTGCAATTTATGCTTTACATCCTCGGTCGTACTATGTAGGCTGAGAGCCTGTTATGTCCGCAACGTTGAAACCCTACTACTAAGGTACATATTGGCAGGACTATATCACTCACAGCGTTGATATATGTGAACATTTGGTGTCCACCACTACGACTAGTACATTTCTCAGTACCATCAAGGCTTGTTTCTCGGAAAAGACAACCCTGAAGATGTTCGGCAGGAGGATCAAAGAAATGTGCCTGCCTTAACCGAGATCAACATCATAACCAGCCCAGCCCCCCCTCCTCCCCCCAAAAGTATCCGAGGTGCGTTTTCGGCCATTCTCCAAGGCTGAGCCAATAGCGGTAGCTCGGCACTTCGTTTACTTAGTAGTATCGTCCAGGGCATGAACCCAGCTCTACTGTGTACCAAAGGACGGATGTACCTGATCTTATCACAGAAGTCAAACCCTGCCTTGGCCATCTTGTCCATGAAACCTGGCCCTATAGCAACACCACATTTGTGTCTCTCAAGAGTCAAGATTGCTCCGTATGTTGTGTCATCTTGGCTATTGCCCTTCACGGTAGACTTTGGGAAGAATTCAGCCGCGGAAACCTGTTCCTTGTGTCCCGAGATGCCTTTTGTGTCAGCCAGATCAAGCGTCCAATAAGACTGGGGTAGTTAGTTAGGTGTCTCTCCCCCCCTCTCTCTTTGAGCGTGAGAGTTACTTGGGCGACCATTGAAGGACAATCATAGGAGCAGGAAAAGTGGAAACAAGGGAACATGACCCAATGACCACCACTGTTATTGAAATCAACAATGAAGAACCCCCAAGAAACCCACCACACAAGCAGGTCCAGCACTAAGGACGAAGAGCGAAGGAGAGGGACGGGGGGGGAAAGAGAGTGCGAGCGAGCGAGATAATTTCATGTCCAACCGAAGAGATAGGGAATGATGTCACCGTGGGGCAACTGTTGGCCTTCTTTCCGCCAGCAAAGGGTCATCGTGAACCTTCAACCATGGGTTTCTCCTCGCATTTAGACCCAAGGATTGCCACCAGCACGAGGCCCAACCAGTTGGGGTTTTTGTGAGGCCTGATGAGCGAATCGGACCTTGGTGGGCAGTAGGACCATGTAACCGGGTCTGATTCCGTGATTTAATCTTTTCCAGATCTCGAGCTAGGAAAAGGTGGAAGGATAGGACACTGTAGGTAAAAGTAGATAGAATGGAGGCTAAAATAGCTGCTACATTGGGGAGTAGGCAGCACTGGAGTCTCCGGAGTGAGGAGAAACCGGGGGGAGAAGCGCAGTAGTGCAAGATGTGTGTGCCATCGGGCGGGATTGAAATTACATGGACTAGTTAATGACCGGGCACGACGGCTCTACTTCCTTTCCGACTCTCCGTGACGAATGTAAATCGTCTAGGTTATCTTGATATATTTCATGTAGTACCATCTTTAATGGGCCCTAGACTCGCCGGGAAAAAAAAAATATCTGCGAGGCAGTTGACCCTGTAGGTACTACTGTGTACTAAGTATTCCCGTTTTCTATTATTCTATACAGTAAGGAGATGCTTGCATTAGGTCGTGTAATATTCCACTCTTGATGGACAACGAAGACTCCATACCTCCTAGTACTTACTACCCACTAAGTCCCTCTAGAGTCTAGACATTCATTGAGGATTTAGTCTACTCGGGGCACAATGCCATCACCAGGCACAACAGTAACTAAAATGCTGTATCATCCGCCAAAAATCAAGGTTGCCCTACTATGTATCTAAAAGTGTTTAGTATCCCTCGAAGTCACCTGCCCAACACAGCTTATAACGATGGAGTAAGAGAAAATGGAGTCCCCTCACACTAACTACGGAGTAAAGGTGGAGAATACTAACCTGCGTGCCTCCAATTCCCAACTAATCCACTAGTCCAGAATATTGCCTAATTACAGCCAGACCATAATTATAGAGAACCCACCAGATTCCCACTTAAGCGTGACACTATCATCCCAGTTTGGCCCCTGCTGCTCCGTAGGGAAAAAAGGGTAAAAAAAAGGAATGGTGTGTTTGGGTCAAACAGACGACCACGCTATCTTTTTAGCGTCCAAGACGGCGTCTTTGCTGTGGCGGGCCAGAGAGTGAGAGAGACTGAGTTGAGTTGAGTATACTGTTTTTGGTAATGGGCTGGAGAAGTGAATGGATCCTTTATCCTTGTATCTGCATAGCATTATCTACATATGGTAGTTTTGTTACATGACTGGACGTTGCTCACCCGCAAGAGGTATATTTACTTGACATTTAGTATAGGTTTATTCATCATCTTTCCTTTTTTAGTTGTGGCTCTGATTGACAACCAACTATCTAGATAATCATCGTGATCGTGGTTCTGGCCTCTTTAGTCCTCCGCTGCTCTTCCTTTCCCACTTTTCCTGTCTTACTGCTAAATCACTTCTTTGTTTCTCTGTCGTCGGGGAACTATTATGATCGTCTGATCTGGCAGTCACTTCATCGAGCTACAACTATTGGCAATAACCTTCGTGTAGCAGTCACGAGGTGTCAGGGCGTGCAAAGGTCATGCTCGTGGAAATATCCTCGCTACATGTTCATAGCGCAAAAGTGGCCGCTATTTTTGTTGGGGGAGATATGTTGGCGCAGAATACGGGTATTGCCAGGAGACATCTCAGGAACCCTCGTTCGGCAATGGCATACGAGATGAGGGAAGGTGTCCCCGATGCAGCGTCGGCTATGTCCCGTGAAATTGATAAAATCTTGCTCTTACTCCATTCGTTGCAAAAGGTCTTTGACTAACGCAGGTGACCCTGATGAATGACCCGGGTCCCTCAGCGACGCAAGGAGTCCATCCCATCACAAGGTCCGTCACTCTCACTTCGATTTTCCATGTCATAAGAAGCAGAACGTGTTTTACATTGCCCCATCTATGATGCGTTAAGGATAAAAAAACAAACACCGCAACAGCTTTCCGCAGATGATGCTTCCATGCATGCCTAGCAGTCATGTCCATCGGCCATAAAGGTTGCCGTCGAGATAAAAATGATAAGAAAAAGTAGAACAGCGGGGAAAAAAAGAGACAGGGGTACATTCATAGATGAAGGCATAGACAAAATCGAAATGATATCTCGACTGGACCGAAGATGGATCTATACAAAACTTGGTTCCGTGGCGCCAAACGACTGCCTCCCTGGACCAGCAAACCGCATTCGTGGGGATAACCGATGTGATACACCATCGTCCAAACATGCACATGGAGAGAGAAGAGCTACTAAAACAAATAGTGAAAAAGGTATAAGCCGAGGGCGGATGCAGAGCAATAGCTTCTGTCCTCCCACTTTCAGGTGGGCCCCATTAGCCCCAGCTGCACGTCAGAGCGTGCTTAGAAGGGAGGAGGGACCATGTCCTCAGGGCTCATCTTCTCTTGCTGCTCCATCAGTTCCTCGCCCGCGATCTCAAGGGAAACAGCAAGACCGAGCTTGGCCGTTTGCTACAAAGAGAACAACATGTTAGTCACTAATCATCCACCTGGAATGAAGGGACACTGCAGGAAGTGAAGCTCACCTTGGCCTGATCGATCTCACCGGCAAAGGTAAGAGCGATGGGCATAGCTATCCGCTTCTCCAGAAGGCAACTGACCTTTCCGGTGCTGTCGACCTGAGCACGGAAAGTGGAAGCACGGAAGTCGTACTTGGCGCCAATGGCAGTGGTGCCGTCACGGCTGGGACCACCCATGAGAGCAGCAGCAGCGTTAGGAGCGAACTGGAGGTTCATGTCAACACCAGCCTCAACACGCTCGGAGAGCTTCTTCCAGTAGGAGGCGGTGATGACACCCTGAGCCTGCAGCTGAGCACTGACAATCCAGTCGGCGGTCTTGTAGCGGGCACCGTAGGAGAGAGCAGATTCAGGACGAGCGTTCATGGCCTGGCGCTGCCAGATAGCCTCGAAACCAAGAGCCAGGTTGGGAGTAACAGACTGGAGATAGCTTCCGACGAAGATACCGGTAAGACCGCCCTCCAAGTAAGAAGGGTTGAAAGCCTTGAGAGAGGCGGAGAAATCGTCGCCGGTGTAGTCATTATCAAGCTGCATCAAGCCCTGGCCACCGGGCATAATCTGAGTGTTGGTCTTGGTGACAAACTTGGGGGTCCAACGGTAGTTGCCGACAGCAGCGAGACCTCCATCGCTTCCGAGGTTGCCTTGCATGAAGACCTAAAGTCCCAACGAGAGAAATTGTTAGCCACCTACACAGATTATATATTCAGAGGTAACATATAACCATTGCACCTTACCTTAGGACTTCCGTACATGGCGGAGAAGTTGTATGGGGGCATGTTGCCGGATCCGCCCATGGAGAAAGCATGCGACACACGGAACAGAGGAGACATGCCGAAAACCTTGGTCAGGTCCGCCCGGAGACCGGTGAACATGAAGTTGGACAGCAGAACATCCTTCTGCACCTCCCGGGAGATGTTATCCAGGGTGCCAGGGTTGGGAAGGCCGAGGGCGGCCCTGCGCTCGGAGAACGAGGTGTATGCATCCTTGAAGGCCGCGGCCACGGAATTGTCCGTGAGGAAGGAAGGCAAAGCTAGAGAGTCGGACATTATGAAGTCTGAGGAGATATTAAAGGTCGTTATACAGGACGGGAGAGAAACGGAGGATGATCGTTATACGCGGTTCGTCCTTGTTGGGGGGAGGAAAAGTGAAGAGACCTCGTTGAGACCAGCCCGGAAATTGAACCTGGAAAGGCGAAGAGCAACGTGAGGGATAACACGACGCTCTTGCTAATTGAGGAATGAAGGTTGTGTCCGACCTGCTCTGGGGAGTTGAGAGGAGGGAGATTGAACACCAGGGCAGATGGATTGGGGGAGGGAGATGGATGAGATGGTGATGGGGAAGTTCAGTTTCCAGGCGTTCTTTCGACTGCCAGAGCTTTCGGCTTGAAAAAAGTGACTGGCGCCTTTCCGCCCCGGTTGCGCTGGGCCGTCGCTGTGCTGCGCCGTAGTCACTGACTCCCTCAATGTAGTTTAGCCCGCTTCGGGCTGCGCCGGGATTGGGATCTTTAGTTTGGCCGGCGATGATATAATCCTCGAAGCTATCTAGTTAACTAGTTCATCTCCCTCAATTCGTGAAGAAGAGAAGAAGAAGAAGAAGAAGAAAAAGAAGAAGAGGTCTCACGGATCCTTTATCATATCTGTTTTGGTAAATTTGTTGTGCTCAAATTGTCTCGACTTTGTCTCAAGCCCTTCCTATCTCTGTCTCTCTCTCTCTCTCTCTCTCTCTCTTTTTTCTTTTCTCGGAGACGAGCAACCAATCGGGTGTGGATCGGTCTATAGTTTATACCACCGACGGTGTACAGCTCTAGTACACTACTACTAACTAACTACTAGTACTACTTACTACTTGGTAGTCAGGTAGTCACATCACTGACTTACTGACAGTTACAACAACTTGATTTGTCTTTGCTGCCGCCCGATTGGGCTGTCTTGCTTTTTTTTCTGAGAGTGTCTCCTTGCAAAAAGCAGTACTTATTACTTCTACCACCTAATCTTCCGTCATTACTGGGACTTGCTTTTGTGCGGGGATGTGCTGAGCGCCTTCCTTCGTCTCTATTGCTCTCTACCGATACCCCTCGTTAGCCCAGCCCAAGCTTGACTCTACTATTCTTCCTTCTCCCCGAACTATCCCATCCCATCCCATCTCGCCATTATTATCATTACCGCCATGGATACGTTACTGTAAGCTCGACTCAGTCCTTCCTCCCTCGATATGTTTCGCTTCTTCTCCGAATCGTCGTGCTGGGTCCGGAGTACTTGCGATACCGCTGAACCTTTCCCTATTATCGATTCCACTTGCTCTAACGTACTCCTAGAACCGCGGATATCGTTGCCAACTCCCCCCGATTTCGGCGCAAGTCGTCGACTTTCGTCGATGCAATTCACGACCTGCCTGAAAAGGCCGATTTGGCTCCCGCGCAGCTCTACAGCACCGAATCCGGCCGACTCTTCCACTCCGGCCGCATTGTCATCATCACGGTAGGATTACCGGCAAGAGGCAAGACGTTCGTTTGACCAAACCCATTCGTCATTGGTCCACTCCATTCATTAACCTTTGGTCAGGCATATGTCGGTCGCTCTGGCACGTTACCTTCGCTGGTAAGTACACCATCCGGCCCATGGCTCTATTGCTAAGCAGAGCCGAATTGACATCATCGCAGGTTAGGTGTCAAGACAAGAATATTCCACCTCGGCGATTATCGACGTGCTACCATCCCCTACGGCCAAGATATCCCTGATGACTACTTCTTTGTCAACGGTACGCGATGGCCTCTTATATCTACCCAGACGTACCTTGGCCAGCCTCAGTGGCTGACCACTTTTATTTTAACAACCTCGCTTGCTAACTGAACATGTAGCGTCGGCTTCGTCTGTGCTCCTAAGGCAGAAGATTGTTAAGCGATGTCGCGAAGATATATACCACTTCTTGAATCATGAGAATGGGCAGATAGCGATATACGATGCAGTCAATCCCATCGCTTCGGGACGACGGTCACTCGCCAAGGAATTCTCCAAGCATGATATAGAGGTACTCGGATTTATCTTACCCTTAGTATTACACATTTGCTAATCATGCCCTCCATGGAAACCCAGACTCTATTCATTGAATCGTGGTGTGACGATGAACGCATAATCGAGGAGAATGTCCGACGGGTTAAGATATCTTCACCCGACGTACGTTTAGCTACCATGGAACCCCGATTCTATCGCGCATACTCACCCTTGGCAGTACGTAGGGTGGTCTTCAGAAGACGCGGTCAAACATTATTTGACCAGGATAGCTGCCCGTATCCCCCAATTCCAGACTATGGAGGAGACGGACCTCAATTACATCAAGGTATCTGCTATATCCTGCATGATGCGGCTTCCCTTTCGCTAATTTCTCACCAGATGATCAACGCAGGTGAACGTCTGATTGTAAACAACAAAAGCTTTGGCTATCTCTCTAATCGGATTGTGTTCTACCTCTTGAACCTCCATATCAAATCAAGACACACGTATTTTGCCAGAGTCAGTCTGCCTGTTGCGACGCATATTGACGGGAGATCTTTAAGTTACTGACGAAAATGTGTGTGACTAGGCCGGCGTTTCACTGGAAGCAGGCTCATACAAAGCGGATGCCTCACTCTCCGAGCAAGGAGAGGAGTACGCCAAAAAGATGACAGAGTGCTTGCTCCAGCACAGGGAGGCTGAAAGACAAGCTATGGCCGACCAAGGGGAGAAAGACTACGAACTAAAGCCGCTGACAGTCTGGACGTCTACGCGACGGAGGACAGTCGAAACCGCCAAGTACCTCCATGAGAAAGGATACAAAGTACGGCAGCGATCACAAATGAGCCAGTTGAACCCTGGGGTATGCGAGATGATGTCGGAACGGAAAATCCGCCAGGAGTATCCGGACGAGGTGGCGAAGCATGATCTTGACCCCTATCACCATCGTTACCCTCGAGCAGAGGTAGGCCGTGTTCTTGTTTGCGTTTAGTCATGGAGGGTTCCGAAACTGACTATATTGGTAGTCCTATCATGACCTTGCGGTACGGCTGGAGCCGATTATCCTGGAGCTTGAGCGCGAGCAGAATGATCTCTTGATTATCGCGCACGAGAGCGTATTAAGAGTGCTTTATGGATACCTGATGGCATGCAATGCCGCCGACATTCCATTCCTGGAGTTCCCACGGGACGAGATAATTGAAGTGAGGCGATTGTTACAGGTTTAACGGCGTTGAACACCTCAGCTAACTGACTTCTTCAGATAATACCCGAAAGCTATCAGAACGAGGCGCGCCGAATCCACATCCCTGGTCTACCCAAAGAGATCATCCCTGGCTCACCCGAAGACATCAAGATTCCCGTCCCGCCGAGTGGGATGATGACCCCGCTGGCTGGGGGACTTGGCAGCCCAAAGGAAGGCCTTGCAACGCCGCAGAGCGGCCTTCGAACTCCTCGGGAGCCCGAGAGGATCTCACAGCAGCATGTGGAAGATGTTGTCTAGATTCGCATTCCATCTTGTATATAGGACCCCGCGACCGCTTGCCCGTAGGAGTATCGTCGGTACGATTGTGAACGTAGATAGTCATTAGCGCTAGCCCCCATGAAGCGTAGAAACGAAGACAATGTTATCCTTCTGCTGAAGTTCGTAATTCTCCTCGCCTTCGAGCTCCCAATCAGCGTCGTTGATGAGGACCAAGATTCCCGGTCGTCTGTCGCACAAGGTCAGCCTGATCGCGTTACACTGTATTCCCATGCGATGAGATGGAACGTACACATTGCCTTCCAATATGAACAATTCCTGTCTCTGATCCTTCATGTAGTTCTTCACCAGATGACCCAGGAGGTAGCTGATAGTTGGCCGGCTGCCGTCGTCAAGGTGCGAAGGTAGGGTGACGTGGTGTTTGCGCTCGTTGGCAAACAGAATCTCTAGACCACCTCTGTTTGTGCAAACCAAGCCAAGTCAGTCATGAGTAGAAGCCTGGGGTGCTTGCATGAAAAGGGTGAGAGCCGAACGTGAACTCAACGGTAATAGCAATGGAACCGGCGCCATCTTTGCCCAGCTCAGGGGCTCCAGGGTTCGTGGCCATGTTGATTATCAAGAGAGAGATGTATAACTAATGGCCAAGTAAGGCAAGGTAATCAATTGGGGGTTGCGCGGGATCGTCAGGGCTCGTGGACAAGGCGTTAGTTATTGCGGCGAGGATGGAGATGGAGGGGTTGGCAAAAGACGGGGTCCGGATTTCTCGCTGCTTATCGATAAGCCGCCCAGTTTGCCGGCACAAAAAGTCGGCTGGCTGTGCGATCCATTCGAACATGGTTGGTTGGTGACGAACAAGCCCACCCCTCACTCTTACTTCCTTCCCTGTCTGTGGCTCTGTCGGCCTGCTTGATCTTTTCCCAATATAACCTAAACTAATTGCTCGAATTTACGACTTGGACGAGCTTCATGGTCTCCATCACGACCGAGTACATCAGCGTCGGGGGCAATAGGCATCCCGCCGCCGCCGATTGGGACGTCCAGTCAGGCGTGCTTGCCTTTGGCGCAGATAACAATGTAGCTCTCTGGGATCCTCGAGTAAGTTACTCCTCAAGATCCGCTTGTTTGCTTCCAATATGGTGTTAGTTTTGATACTGATGGTGGGGCCTTGGGTGATGATGTAGGAGAGTTCCCAGCGCGGGGTCTATTCGCTTCTTGTCGGCCACACCGACAAGGTCAGTGTCGTTCGGTTCTACACATGCCCTTCCACCGGAGCGAGACTTCTCTTGACTGGCTCTGTTGATCATACGGTCCGGTTATGGCGCCCCGATTCAGAAAACTCCCGCCAATTCGTCCACGCGCATACTTTGGAAGGACATGCCGGCTCAGTCAATACCATCGCCATAGCTGAAGGATTGGACATCGTCGCATCGGGCGCAGCTGATGCTACTGTGAAGATATGGAAGATCAGCACGCAGGGGGAGCCGAAGGGCGAGCTCTTGAGATCTATTCCCATGAAGCCACGCTTCTTTCCGTTGGCTTTGGCGTTGACACCGCTTCGAACGGAATCGAATGACAGACCTGTGGCTCTGGCGGTGGCAGGGACCACAAACATCGTGCAGGTATATGTAGCAGAGAACACTCTTGTCGACCCCGATTTCAAGCTTGCGGCTGTGCTGTCCGGACACGAGGCGTGGGTGCGCTCCTTGTCTTTCACGTCGGATAAGCAGAGCAAGACGGGTGATCTGCTATTGGCCTCAGCCAGTCAAGACAAGTATGTTCGACTCTGGCGATTCCAACGTGGAGAGGTTACTCAGGCCACGCCGGCGTGTGATGACGATCCTATGCTGGGCGGCTTCGAGCCGACGCTATCGAACAAGGCGCATCAGTTCACCGCGGCGGGGACCAAATACTCTGTTACATTCGAAGCTCTGTTGTTCGGAAACGAGGACTGGATTTACACGACTGCGTGGAACCCTGACCCAGAGCGCCAGCAACTTCTCACTGCTTCGGCAGACAACACATTGACCATTTGGGAACAAGATCCGGTCTCGGGAGTGTGGCTTTCTGCCGAAAGAATGGGAGAGATCAGTGTTCAGAAAGGTTCCACTACAGCTACTGGTAGTACTGGTGGGTTCTGGATTGGTCTTTGGGCCCCAGACGGCAAGCAAGTTGTAAGTCTGGGCCGCACTGGAAGCTGGCGCTCGTGGAAGTACGATGCGGAAACCGATATGTGGGCGCAGTCCCTGGGTATCTCCGGGCACGTGCGGTCAGCCAATGGGGTCCAATGGGAGCCTACTGGAGGATATCTCTTGTCGACAAGTGCGGATCAAACGACACGTCTGCATGCCCAGTGGCTGCGCGATGGACTGAAGTCATGGCATGAATTTTCACGACCTCAGATCCATGGCTACGATTTGAATTGCGTGGACACTCTGGGCCCGGCTCGGTTCGTGTCCGGTGCCGAAGAGAAGCTATTGCGAGTGTTCAATGAGCCTGGGCCTATCGCACAGCTCCTAGAGAAGCTTTCTGGCTTCAAACAGACGACCGAAGGAGCACTACCAGACACAGCACAGATCCCCGTCCTGGGATTGTCGAACCAGGCGCCGGCCGATGATGCGCCTACAGGTGAAGACGGAGTGGAGGGTGAGGAGGTTGGAAAAGCTCAGGCTAATCAGGCGCTTTTGGCGGAATCAAACCAACCGCCATTGGAAGATCAGCTGGCCCGCTACACATTATGGCCAGAGCATGAGAAGCTGTATGGTCACGGATACGAGATCTCAGCCGTGGCCGTCAGCCACGACCGCACACTAATTGCCACCGCTTGCAAGGCGAGTTCGATTGATCATGCCGTGGTGCGTCTGTACGACACGTCGGACTGGCACGAGATTCGTCCATCTCTTGCCGCGCACACCTTGACCATTACTAGTCTCGCTTTCTCCAGTGACGACCAGTACCTTCTGAGTGTCGGGCGTGACCGGCAATGGGCTGTTTATCAACGTAGCGAACAGGACCCCTCTACATTCTCCCTTCTAACTTCGAACCCCAAGGGCCACTCCCGAATGATCCTCGATGCCGCATGGGCACCTGCGTCGGGCAAGCCCATCTTCACAACCGCTGGCCGGGACAAGTCAGTGAAGCTGTGGCAAATGACCGAAGGCTTTTTCGAGTGCAAATCTACCATCCCGCTGACAACGCCTGTCACTGCACTGGCGTTCCTTCCGCAGATATACAACAACTCCTTCTTTGTGGCCACGGGCGAGGAAAGCGGGGCGGTGTCTGTCTACCAGGTTGCAGTCGACAGCCTGGAAGCCAGCCATCTGTCAAGTATCGACAAGCTTGCATCACCTTCGAAGGCGATCACGCAGCTGTCCTGGCGGCCGGTTCCTGATGCCGACATACGGAATTTTGCACTGGCGGTAGCAAGCGAGGACACTTCAACTCGGATATATAGTTTTTCGGACATGGTCTCATAACCAAAAAGGCCATATATGTACAGAACCAAAAACTAAATGAGCAAGAAAAGAAGAAATTACCATGGGTTGAAGTCTTGCGTAATGTTGAAAGCCCAGACTCCTGAAATGTTGAATATATCCCTCCCGAGTCTAGAAAATCCATCTAGAGACACAAATAGTTGAATGATGCTCCGAACCCCTGCTATGCATATCCAGTGATTAGTGGCTGTTGAACCAACCATGTTGAACGATGCCAAAGAAAGAATATAAGAAGAGCAGATGAAACAAATGAAAAGGCGCACTTGCATGTCATCACGCAGCAGGTCGCTTTTCCAAGCCATACCCGCCCAAACCTTCCAGCGTCGGGTAAGTCTTAGCCTGACTAGTAGACCCATTTCTCGGTCCCCTAGATTGCAAGTCCTCCTTGAGCCACTTCAGCACGAGCACACCAAGCTGACTATTCTCTGAAGACTCCTTAACCTCCTCGCGGAACTTCTCAATGGGACCCCACTGACGCACGCTTCCCAAATGCATATGGACAAGGTGAGTAGGCCACAGCGACAAGTTATCCAAGATATGGGTCGCATAAACGATAGTGCAGGGTCTGATCTCGGTCTCACGTTTAAGGAAGGCCAGGAAATTGGCGCGAGAGAGGAGGTCCAGATCGACGGTGATTTCATCCAGGAGGAGGACTTGCCAGGGCCGGAGGAGGCCCATAGCTAGCTGAACGCGACGACGTTCGCCGTCCGAGACGGCGTGCATGCGCCAGTTGAGATCGATGTCGAGGATGTCGACGAGTTCATCCCGACGGTCAGGGTATGCATTGCCGCCGACGGAGGCGAGGAGGGTAGGGACGTCGATGTCGGTGCGGACGATGTTGTTAAGAACCCATTCCATGCCGAGGTAGGTTACGCCTTCGAGACCGTCCTTGAAAGGGTCTTTGCCTGCGACGGTGATGGTGTCTGTGGGAGCTAGACGTTTGCCTGCTAGGAGGCGGAGGAGGGTGGTTTTTCCCGCGCCATTGGCTGTTGACAGTGGTTTAGGAGTTAGTTTGGTTGATATGTGCAGCAGCAGTGATATTGGACATACCCCCGATAAGTAGGGTTCGACTGCCGGCGGGGGCTTGGAGATTGACATCGGTCAAGCCGGCAGAACCATCGGGGAACTGGAAGGATAGGTTCTTGACCTCAATTGAGGGGGAAGTGGCGTTATTGTCTGTCATGGCGAGAGATGCAAAGAGGGGAAAAAAGATGAGGGGTAAGTTAAGTTGATAGTAGAATAGCAGATTGCTCTTATCTAAATAGTAGTGTGGGTCACTCCGGTCTATGTCGTCGTAGATATTTATTGACGGTCCAAACGAAAATCTATTATTGAAAGGAAGGAAATAAAGACTGTGCAAAGTGTAATAAGACTCAGGGAGAGAAGAAAAAGGAAGAAGAAGAGGAATTGGAGGAGGAGCGATAAGACCCGATGAGGTAATAATTCAATGGATTGCGATGGCGGGGGAATTTGCGCCGGGAATTTTTCCAGAGCCGCACCGCCAGAATTACCTCCCTTCGAGCCCATCAGCTCGCGGTCTTCTTTGCCAGATGCATTTGTCGAGGCAAAGATGCTAATTCGGCCCTATTTTAATTTCCTCTCATGCAACCATTTGTCCGACGCTTTATGTCTCTCAAACGCCCCTCCGTTATGAAGCCGCTCATCGCTGTCGTCGGTGCCACGGGCACGGGCAAATCAAAGGTGAGAGCGTTTACTCCGCCAAGGATCTTGGGATTGTCTTTTTTTCTTTTGAGGCTTTGCTTTACTGACGGTTGTAGTTAGCTTGCAGTGGACCTAGCCTCGCGATTTAACGGGGAGATCATCAATGGCGATGCCATGCAAATGTATCGCGGTCTCCCTATCATCACCAACCAGATCCCCGTCGAGGAGCGAAACGGTATCCCGCACCACCTGATTAGCTGTGTTGAGCTTGATGAACAGCCATGGTTCGTGGGCAGATTCAGAAGCGAAAGTCTCCGACTCATTGACGACATTCACGCCAGAGGGAAAACTCCCGTTCTGGTCGGCGGTACCCATTACTATACACAAGCCGTCCTGTTCAAGGATCAGCTACTTGGCGAGGATGCCACTGCAGACGATGCGCCGGAGGAAGCGGAAAATCGATTGATGGAAGATAACGACCCAAAGTCCTCGACTAAATGGCCGATTCTTGACGCTCCTACTGAGGTGGTTCTGCAGAAGCTGAGAGAAGTCGATCCGGTCATGGCGGATCGATGGCATCCGAATGAAGCACGCAAAATCCGCCGCTCCCTAGAGATCTACTTCCAGACCGGCAGGCCCGCGTCGGAGATCTACGCGGAACAACAGCGGACGAAGCAGGCAGCCCTGGCTCGGGATGACTCCCTTACGGGTGCCGGCCACTTGCGATTCCCGACGATGATATTTTGGGTGCACTCGGAGAAGGAGACGCTCAACACTCGACTGGACAAGAGGGTGGATGCAATGCTGGAGCAAGGGCTGATGACAGAAGCCAGGCAGATGTCGGATTACCTCCAGGAGAAGAAAGCCCAGGGCGTCTCCGTTGACCAGAGCCGCGGCGTATGGGTGTCTATCGGATACAAAGAGCTAGCACCCTATCTCGAAGCACTATATGCAGGCTCGGTGGATGAGGCCGAGCTAGAGAACCTCAAGAAATCTGGCGTTGAGTCGATCAAGACTGCAACGCGGCAGTATGCCATGTCTCAAATCAAATGGATCAGAAACAAGTTATGGCAGGCCCTTGCAGACGCAAGCTCGACCAATCGTCTCTACCTCCTTGACAGCACCAATGTCGACGCATGGGAGCAGAATATTTCCGAGCCGTCCGAACGTCTTGTCCGCGCTCTGCTGGAAGACGAACCCACTCCCGACCCGAAATCACTGTCAGAGCTCGCAAGGACAGTCTTGGGCGCCAAGGAGTCGCAGCCGCAGAAAGAGTCAGGATCCGTCACAAAGTGCAGGACCTGTGACATCTGCCACAAGACCATGATGGGTGATGAGCAATGGCAAATACACATCAACGGCTCAGTCCATAGGAGAGCGCTTAAGAGCGCCGCCAAACGGGCCGCGCGTGATGAATATCTACGAAAGCGACAAAAGCTGCTACACGAGGGCCAGGAAAATGGCCCTGAATCTCCTGCGGAGCCAGATTTACAAAGCCCCCCGTCCCCTCAAGACAGATAGACAAAAAATAAATGTCTCAGAGAATTCCAACAGCACCGAGGTGCCTTGCATTTAGATGCAAATGTATCTGTGAGACCCTTGGGTAACTATGTAGAGAGACACTTCAGCGCAGTGCATGCTAGCAGACCCATCTGCATCTTTGCTTTCACACCGTAAATGTTTGCAGATAGCGGGTGCAATCAAGACATCATTTGAAGAACCCATAACATCCGGTCGAGTTTGGTATGGGGCTTGGCGTTTGGGGGCAGCAAATAGATGTCAAATATAAAGCATTATATGCAGTGATTGCACGGCACATACTAGCCACTGTACTGATCAGGTCTGTCCAGTGACCGAGTCGGTCCAGACGATGTCGCAAGCGAAATCCCCATGCATCAAGTCAAGAGGCATGCATACTCATATCTGCAGTCTTGATAGCAGCCCTATCACTTTTGCGCGACTGGGTGAGAACCGACATTCTCTTTCACTGGAGTAGTCCACAGACGCAGGACCATGGAAATGAGAAAATCGTCAATGATTCAGCGTTTGCATGGCTCAAGATTTGGATCTCCAGGCTGAAAATGCTGGTGAGATGATATCGCCAGTTCCACTCTCTTCCACCTTGAAGACTTCGATTAGTGACGATTTCTCACGTTTGCGTATTCTCCATGTGCCTTCCTCTTGGATAGTAGTTTTAAGCCCTGCAACAGTCAGTTTAGATCCTGTTTGTTTCTTTCTTTCTTCTTGAATTATAATTCGAGCAGGCGAAATCGAAGGTATACGCACACTCAAGGAAGGTGGCAGCAAAGTTAATGCAAATATTTCCGTCCCAAGTCCCCCGGCCAAGCTTCTTGACTTTTCCGGGTATGGCAGCAGTCTCGAGCTCCTCAAGACGATGGACAATACCTTGTTGGTCCCGAAAGCCGACAATGATTTTGGGTACCCCGAGTAAGAATGACTGGGCCCAGAATTTCAGAAGTTTTCTTTCGTATTTGACCAGGTCCCGGTCATTCCTTATTTCGGCGGAAGTTTTCAGTTCTACCCAATGGATAGGATCTTCTTTTCGCTCAGGTTTGCAATCCCAGACTGTGAATAGGACGCGTTAGAACATATTCATATGCACTGCTGCAAGTGGTGGCGATGGAGCGGTAGGTGGCCTTATGACATACTTGCATCTACCTCCCCACCAATAACTAGGCGTGCGCGGCCGATGGCAGTGCGCACCACTGAACAATACTGGGCATTGTTGTTTACAATGAGCTCCTCTCGGTTTTCAATCTCTCTGCGAGGAGTCGGGTCCCATGGCTGATCGAGCACTGACAGAGTCTCGAATTTATAGCCTGACTTGGTCAATAACATTTATTGCAATAAGGAGAAGTGAGGTCTCACCCCAGTAGGCCATCAGATCCTGAGACGCCATTCCCGGAGGCATTCGTTGGTTCTTCTGAACTCGTTTCTGCTCATTTTTGTAGCTGTTGTTCTCTTCGATAAATCTAGACGGTTATTAGAGTCGAGAGCCAGTAGATATAGCAAGCTAGCATGAACCAACATTGTGCCCTAGAAGTACATTAGCAATGAGTCCTCGATCCGATGGCCAATAACATACCTGGAAGCAGGTCGCGTTCATTTCAAATCTGTACGTAAATCAATGGTTGAAGCAGGAAAGCGACGAATTGAGAATACACACCCATTCAAGTTATCAAAAGGAGCTGCAAGGATCTAGATAAACCAAACATGAGCATATTCCTCGGTCCCATACGATTGGTACACATTATAGACGATATCTACCTTGGTCATCATGCCTCTCCATGTGATGATATCAGCTTCACATTTCTTCTGGGTTTCTTGTTCCAGAGCCATGACTGTTTCGAGCAGAGCGTCTAGATGCTCATCAGCTGAATCATCTAGCTTTTGAAATGACTCGAAGCCGCGATTCAGGTCCGCGGGAAGGCATGGCGGATAGTAGTATTTCATCGATGAGTCTCCGAGATGGAACTTATGCTCATCATCGTAAGAGAAACATGCAATCTCCTGAGTAACGGTTAAGGGCCGACTTTGGGCATTCGGAAATGGATATACTAAGCTTACCTTCGGACGTCGAATGGCAGCGCTAGCTTCGTAGAAGCGACCAATGGGCTGAATATCAAAGGCCTTGCGGTCCATGTTTTGAGATATTGCCCGGGTATGGTTGGTGACTGGGATGTAAATGCGCAGAAAGGGTTACTCTATGTACTCTTTCTGCCGTGCGCGCGCGCCTTTCACGAGATGATACCAGAGATTAAGACCGCATGAACTAAAGTGTCAGACGTGTACTGATGTTGCTTGGGAAGAAAACAATTTGAATTTCATCCACCTCAAATATAGCTAGGTAAGAACCCTGCAGCTCGTAAATGCGGAGTGGAAGAAATAAGTTAGATCGTCGTTGCAGTAGTTCAGTCCAGCTGCTCCCGTCATTCTGGAAGAACCGAAGCGCGTCCCCACCAAAAGTCGCCCGGCCATCAACTTTCCCGGCCGCAAGTTGGCTTGACATCGTCAACCATCCCCCGTTCAGGCCTGTCGCACTTGTTGTGGCCGCTTTATCTTCGCTTTTACTCTCTTATACTATTTTGTGTGGCTGTATTGCTATAGCAAGCCATCGTTTTCTCACTGCATCTCCGACCTCTTAACAGTCGCCCCTGGTGATTCATCCGTTCAAGATGACCTCACGTATCGACAAGACAATTGCTCGACAACGAGAGAAGTGAGCCAACCCCACCTTGCTTCCCCCCACAGAGTAGTTTCTTGATGTCTACATGTTTTGCCAAAAGAATATGATAACTGACGCATCTTGTCTTCCTGAAGGATCGCTTCTGGTGCTTACTATGAAGCTCACCAGCAACTGCGGGTCATCGCTGCCCGGTATATCAAGCAAGCGAACTACGATGCGGCGGCAGAGATCCTTGCTGGCGGCGCCGCCGCACTACTGAAAGCTGGATCTCAACAGGGTGCTTCTGCCAGTGGCGGCGATTTGGCGATCATGTTGGTGGTTGAAGTCTACACAAAGGCGGGGTGGGAGATCACTGGAGGAAATGACGATGCGGAGGGGCGGGCTCGGAAGAGTGAGTGCTTGCCTATGCCCTGTTATACATCGCTGCACCAGATTGCCGATGTCTTATGATGCCTTTTTGAAGTAGTCGGACTGACCGAGGGCTCCCTCTATCTACAGAGCGCTTAATCGAACTACTGCACGAATTCCCGCCCGAAGAGCCTACCCGGAAAAGGTTCATCCAGGAGATGATCGGTTGGAGTGGCAGGTTTGGACCCTTAGAACGCGGCGACCCTGAGTTGCATCATGCCGCTGGATCGGTATATGCGGAAGGTATGCAGACCCATATTAATTCTGATTTCGAGGGCGACCTCATAACAGCTATCTCTAGACCACGAACCCTATGACGCGGAAAAGCATCTCATCTTTGGTACCTCGGAATCAGCTGAGACTCTGGCCAAACTGGAATTCGAGTGGTACACCCATGACGAACCGCACACTGCCGCACTTTATGCCTCTCGCGCGGTATTCCCATATCTCTTGATCGGAAACCTTCGCAGCGCCAATAAAGCCTTCCTTATTTTTACGTCAAAGCTTTCCTCCACCAACCCCTCACTCGGCGTGCAAGATGTCAGTAGCGCTAGCTCTGACGTACACGTCTTCCCCGCGCTGCCATTGTTGAATTTCATCAGCATGCTGCTCCTTACGATTCAGCGCGGTAGTTCGGATTTGTATAAGCAGTTGACGGCGCATTACGCATCTCATATCAGAGACGTCGGAATCTGGGATGACGCCCTGTCTCAGATAGGCGAGCAGTATTTCGCAATCAAGATCCCAAGGCAGAGCAACCCGCTGCTGGATATGATGGGAAGCATGTTCTTTGGTGGCGGTCAGGATGGTGCTGGTACCCGGATGGCACCTCAGGGCAGAGGAGGGTCGAAGAGGGTGGAAGCGCCTCCGACGAGTATGGAGCTCGATTAGAGGGATGTCAAGGGAATTTGATGTTGTAGTAGGCTGCAGTCTGAACGCATCATTCATCACGCATAGTAATTAGTATAGACCATCATATCGCAAACGAATCGGTTAGGCCGTCGAGTTGACTTCAGCCTCGTACATCCAGTTATCTTCCTCTAAGGCGGCAACCTTATTGCGAAGGCTCTGGTGTATACGGTTGAGTATTTCTATAGACATCAGCCGAATCGCATCGAAACATAGATCTTTTGGAAATGTAATTGAGGCTCACCGGCAGGCTCGATACTCATTTGTCTGTTTCGATTCCGATACATCATCTCAACAAGGTTTGCCTCCATCTCTAATTCATTATTAGCTCGCCTGACCTGGGCCCTCGGGGCGCAGAGCTGAATCTCCACCTACTCTCTTTCTCCTGCGCGCTCAAATTGCCCCCTGCTGCGCCGGAACCATCGCCGACACCCACACCTTCTATACCCTCCATTTCCTCACCATCTTCACCAATCAAGGGGGGTAGTACAGGGACATCAAGCTTGTAGCTACCGTTCTTGTCCTTAACCACGATTTCCCCGTTGTCAACGGATCCGGCGCTCAAAGATGTAGGTGCTTCAGACGAATTTGATTGCAGCAGCTGCGATGATAGGACAGAGGTTCCATTGCTGGTTTTGCTCTGTGCAGATGAACCTGCGGGGCCAGTCGAGCCAGCGCGTTTGCTGATATGGTGGTGGAAGAGATTGCGGCGGACGGAGGTTGTTCCCATTGCGGGGGCGTAGGGATAGAGAAATACTGAATGTGTACACAAGTAGGTATAATGTGTAAGGATGCCTTTAAGCTGGTTAGCAATGTGTTTTGAGCCCAGGCAAAACTGGTGTCGGTAGTCGTGAGGTCGATGTTGAAGCAACCGAAAGGACTGAGTAAATGAATTTAGAAATGGATGGTGAAACTAAGAATATCCGACGTAGGAGTTTGAATGAGCATAATAATTGCTGGCCTGGAGCGATATCTTATGGTTAAGGGGCGTGAATACAGAGGACCCTAGATACGTATTGAGGTTGAAGTTGCAAGGCGGGATTCCGAAAGGCATCACCAGCAAAACCCATCAGTCAACTGGCTGCCTCTGAGAACAAATGTGTGCTTGAGCAAATTAAAGCCGGTATTTCTATACCTGGCTCGGTAATAGTATAAACGGGTATTATTTGCATTATCCCATCGTAACGAATGAAATTCTTTGGGATCGTGCAGGAGTCCAGTCGCTTTTGGCTTCAGCACCGGCGAACAATAACTACCCTTTTGGGCCAAATCTATGCCGACGCGTCTCCGCCTCGACTTTCGCGTCTCCCGCTTCTTCAATTCTAACCCATCATCAGCGCTTTTGCTCCTGCTCTCCGTCTAGCACACAACGAAACCATTCAGTCTGAGGTTGCATATAATTTACATCAAGTTATTATTCGCTATGGTTCAAGCCGAATCCTCAGCCAGTGCCTCTCGCAATGGCCTTAAGGCGCATACGGCTGGCGCCCCTCCTGACTATGAATTGCCCTGGTACGTACACCAGGTTCCAGCACTAAGGCCAGCTCAGAATGCCGAGTCTAACTGCCAATCTCTGGAAATAGGGTAGAGAAATATCGCCCGGTATTCCTCGATGACATTGTTGGAAACACAGAAACAGTCGAGCGCTTGAAGATTATCGCTAAGGATGGAAACATGCCGCACGTTATCATCTCGGGCATGCCCGGTATTGGAAAGACAACTTCGATCTTGTGCCTGGCGAGACAGCTATTGGGAGACGCATATAAGGAGGCAGTTCTGGAGCTCAATGCTAGTGATGAAAGAGGTACTTCTACCGCACTATGAGAGGGAGACGAGAAGCGGCTTTAATCTAATATGCTCTACAGGAATCGACGTGGTACGAAACCGGATTAAGGGCTTTGCCCAGAAGAAAGTCACCTTGCCCCCTGGTCGCCATAAGCTTGTCATCCTTGATGAAGCCGATAGGTACGTACTGGACATTGAGCTATATCGTCTGTCTTGGATGCTCACGCATGATGCAGTATGACATCAGGTGCCCAGCAAGCATTGCGGCGTACAATGGAAATTTATTCGTCGACGACACGATTCGCATTTGCCTGCAACCAGTCAAACAAAATCATCGAGCCGATTCAGTCGCGATGCGCTATCCTACGTTATGCTCGGTTGACCGATGCGCAAATCGTCAAGCGTCTGAAGCAAGTATGCGACGCCGAGAAAGTGGAACATAACGAAGAGGGCATCGCCGCCCTGGTATTCAGTGCTGAGGGAGACATGCGTCAGGCTATCAACAACCTGCAGAGTACATGGTCTGGTTTTGGTTTCGTCAGCGGGGACAATGTTTTCAGGGTAGTCGACAGCCCGCACCCGATCAAGGTCCAGGCAATGATCAAGGCTTGCTGGGAAGGCAAGATTGATGCGGCGTTGGAGACACTCAATGAATTATGGTATGTATCGCGGTGCAGTCTGCCAGTTCTACGGGTGTGGATGTATTCTGACTATTATTTAGGGATTTGGGGTATTCCTCCCATGATATCATCAGCACTATGTTCCGTGTCACCAAGACAATTCCCACTCTGTCAGAACATTCCAAGCTGGAATTCATCCGGGAAATTGGTTTCACGCACATGCGCATCCTAGACGGCGTGCAGTCACTGCTCCAACTCAGCGGCTGCGTTGCGAAGCTTTGCAAGATCAACATGAAGCCGCAGCTCTTTGAGCCACCGAAGAACTGAGATGAAAATGAAAGTGTAAAGTAGATGCAGGCATAACTTGGAGTTTGGGGCGTTTACAAAGCAAGGCTATATCAAGCCCTGGGGTATTTAGCATATGTCGAACACTTTTGATTTTCAAGTTATCATTGATATAGACTCCCGGTATCATTCATTAGGCTCAGTTCATACATCATAGAACATGCATGTTGGAGACTATGCAACTCGTGGCCAGCTCAACAGTCCGGGTTCACTTCCTTGCAGGCATGGGAGCAGAAGGCATCCTAGCGCCCTCCGGCGGCTTGTTCTTGCTCTTGAATTCATCGCACATCTGTTCAAAAGTGACCCATTCCACGCCCTCGTGCTTGTTGATATATTCAATGATTCTAGATCCGATCAGCAAGGCACCCCACATGAGAGTTCGAACCAGACAATCACCCAACTTACCTCTCATGCATAAGAAGAACATGCGGACGACCCGACACATCAGGATGAATAGTCATAGGGAAGACAAATTCATCGTACTCGCGATAGAAGTAGTCAAAATGATCCTGCCAGAACATCAGTTACATCACAAGGCCCCAAGAACCAACGAATCAAACCCCCTAAGACAGAAGAAAAGCAAACTCACCTTCCAAAGCTCCTCAACATCCTTAGGATTCACCCAACCATGACTATTCGGTGCGGACTTGATAAACATCATAGGCGGCAAATCATCAATATACCAATTGCCCGGGATCTCCACGAGCCCCGTATCCTGGCCCCTAACCAGCGGCTTCATCCAAGTTTCTGCCTTCTGGGAATAATCAATCTTAGTCCATGTATCGCCCGTTCTCAACCAATACATCTGACAATCATGATGAGACATGGAATGATCATATTCAATTCCATAGGAGAGCAACAAATCGGCCATCTCTTTACTGGTTTCCCACCATGGCGCAACGATGCCCCGCGGCGGCTTGCCAGTGAAATCGTACAGCAGGTGATAGGTCTTATCGAGGATGTCGCGTTGCTGCTCGAGGGTCATGTCGGAGGGGTTTTCGTGTGTGTAGCCGTGCAGGCCGATTTCGTGGCCGGCGTCTCGTACCATGGCGCATTCTTCGGGGAAGGTTTCGAGTGAGTGGCCGGGGATGAAGAAAGTGGCTTTGATGTTGTATTTGGAGAAGAGTTTGAGGAGACGTGTGGTGCCGATGTGACCGGCCCAGAGTCCTGCAGCGTGTGAGTGAGTGTACTACCACTACTATCCGTTGAGTGTAGTATAGAATGTTGTATGTTGGTTTATACTTACCTCGACTGATATCGTTGGAGCTGTCCTCGCCGCCGTAGGATCCCAGCCAGCCGGCGACGGCATCGATATCGACGCCGTAACTGACGAGAACGCGCTTCTTGCCCATGTTGGTGTTCTTATTCTGTGTTGGAGAGATTAGGTTTAATCTGGGATGATGTGGCAGACTTATGCGTCGGATATGGAGGTGGGTTGAGTGAGAAGCAGGCAGTTAAGTCTACAAGTTTAACCGAGGGGTAATACACGTCCCCCCAACCTTGGTCATTGGCTGTTCTTTTATATAGTCGATCAGTGAGGGGATCGATGAGGGGGGGGGGTACCGACTTATTTGGTCATATGCGATAAATGATCCGAGGGGGAGAAGATAAGGCGCGATAACCGGGCATGGAGAGAATCGGTACTACAGCAATAGAGAGTCTTATCAGTATACAGATGCTACTGTAGCCATTAGTACTCAGTATTAATTAGTCGATAACTGTCATGATTCGATCTAGTCTGATTAGTCTGTTAGCTATCTAGATACTAACTAGTTGTTAGTACCTGCTCAGGATTGAAACACAGTATATTGGCTTACTCCAACAGTGACGCCTCCACTTCTGGCAGTGACTCCAACGGCCCGGTTGGAGTAAGTCTCGCGGGAAAGTGGGGGTTGCGCTCGGAGCGATGGAGATATCTAGATGATTATCTAGAGTAACTTGGAGACACACCGAGATTGGACTACTGGACTATGCTATAGTTGTCTCAAACTAGCTGCGCCAAATCTTCTCAATGGCAGTCGCTGCTCCTAGGACCTTCTCCTCTTCTAGTTTCTTGCCGATGATTTGAACATTAATCGGATGACCATCCATAGCCTCCGCATTGTAAAGCCCCCAGTTCCATGCGTCCAGCTCGTTCCTCGGTTGATATCCTGCTGGCAGTTCGTCCACCTCAGCCTGCACCTGATCCACTGGGAATGTAACAGCGGAGTAATCAAGGAAATTCCAGATTTTGGTATATCCAACCCACCGCAGCGTTCGGTGGGGGATAGCAGGATGGGGCGTTGTCGGGGCCAAGAGTACATCAATGGGCTTCCCAGAGGGAGAGCGTGTTGCGTTCCATTTGTCCAAGTATTTCTTCTGCAGCGCAATCTTCTTCTTCTTGAGCTGCCAGTACTCGTATACGGAAATGGCCTTTCCGCGATTCACCAATGCTTCCACGTGGGGAATATAAGGCTCCCCGGCCGCTTCCACATCACGGCGGATATCTTCACCCCCATCCACTGTGTAGAAAGCGTCCATGAGTTGGATATATTCTAGATGATCGGAAGCATCCCAAAGGACTAGCTCGTGACCGTGCGCTTCAAGTTTTGCGGCAAGATCCCGGAGCGCTCTCTCGATGGGGGGATGAACCTTCACCACTCCATCGTCTAGAATGAGTCCGATCACCATAGGCCGGCTCTGGACTTCCTCGTGTGCGCTGTCGTTCCAGGGTAGCGGGGTACATTTGGGGTCTAACTGCCACGGATGTGCATTAGCAATCAGTCGGCTTGCATAGCAGAGAGTTGATAGGTCTCGTGCCATGGGGCCAACTGAAGAGGGAACATGCTCCTGTCCCTCGGTAGACACCGGTACGCCATGATATGGAAGCCTACTGCTCTATAGCGTTTGTCAGTCAGGTCAGCTCACTTTAATTTAGCAGGTCTGGGACGGTGGTTGGACTTACAGTAGGCTTCAGGCTATACAGACCCATGTGACTCTGAGGAATCCTCACACTGCCACCGATGTCTGTTCCGTATCCCAGGATAGAGCCGTGCAATGCCAATAAAACAGCTTCCCCTCCGGTAGAACCGCCTGGTGTAAATTCAGGATTCCGTGGGTTGACGGTCAGTCCCCAAAGCGGATTGTCTGTTTCAGCCCACTAAGTTACAGGTCAGAACCGTGGCCTACATTCACGAGGTAGGCCGATACAAACCATTATGCTTTGTGGGAGATTGGTTTTCGCCAGCACAATAGCGCCCATATCCTTCAGCATTTGCACTAAAATTGCATCCTCTGTAGCGGGAGCAAAAGAACGTCCCACATAGCCAAGTGTGGTGTCAACACCCTTGACATTGAACTGATCTTTTACTGTAACCGGAATGCCGTGGAGTGGTCCCTTGATTTGACCGGTTTGTTTAAAGGCATGGTCAAGCTGCCGGGCTTGTTCTAAGGCATCTTCGAACACAATTTCCGTGAGGCAGTTGGTCTGTCGGATCATGTTTATTAGTGGTGATCCATAAAAGCTTGTATATGCCAGTTCCACCTACCAGCTGATGGGCTACCACAGCTCTGGTGTCAAGAGAGTCAGTCAGAGTGGGAATAAAGCTAGAAAGGGCAATGCAGGTCACCTTCTGATAAAAGCTAATGTCGTCTGCTCAGCTGTGTATTTGCCCGATTTCAGGCATTCGAAAAGCCTAGGCACGCTGTCGATGTCTGTGATCTCCTGGATTGCAGGATCTTCATGGATACACGTGCGCTCCTGGACAGAGAGCAGCTTGGGGAGACGCCGGTCGATATCATTGACTTGATACGGCTTTAGGAGCTGATTCCGTAGAGAACGCTTCCGGGAAACAATTTGCTCCCACGACTGGAGGCTTCCCATTATGGTAAAGATATTTCAAGATGGTTAACTAATTAGTATCGAAGAACAACTGGGATCAAAAGGTCTTGTGCTCGTAGTCGTCACTTCTTTCCCTTAATAGTAGTATATATGATAGTACGTATTAAAGTCAGAGTTATGAGTTGGTGTCCGCACCAGAATTTATCTGCTAGTGCGGGCCCCAAATATAAACCGGAGTCATCAACTAGTTAGTAGGATTCTGGCAGCTCTCGGAGCAGATACGGGAAAGTCAAGCAGTACAACTTGTTGAAGGTGGGGTTAACTACGGGAATCAAGGGTCATTTGATAGCGAAGCCAGGCATTCGTGCGGAGTAATCGGAATCCAGTTCTGATAAGAAAAAGAGACCCCATCGCTAGATTAGATTCTACCAGAACGGATTAGACTGCATTTGGATTGATTGAACCTTGGCTAGTCAGGCACGCCGAAGTAATTCCGGGGGATCGCTGATCAACCGGCAAATGTTTTTTTTTTCTGGGGGAGACTGTCCAAGCGGAAGAGAATGTTTAAAACGTATTTGAAAAAAAGCAATTCCGAAAGAGAATCTGGGGAAACTGTAATAGTATCCAATACGGAGTAATCCCTTCGAGAATAAAGTCAGGGTTGTTTAAGAGGGAGAGAGAAAAAGGATTGGATTAGAAATGGAGTGGGGGGAATGAATCCCCACCAGGATCAAATCCACAACTGGAAACACCGGCCACACGCCGGCCAGCTTTTCCCCTTCCAATCTCCCCGTTTCTCCTCACTCAGCTGCCGACGCCTTCCATCACTGGCTGTGAGCTCCGAGGCGGGTTGGAATTTGGAAAACAATTTTGACCTGTTCACCAACAATGCTCATGACTCGTGAGATGCATTGTTCAATGTTGTCTTTTTACTAACTACTTGTCTCTCGATTACTAAGTTCCTTTTTTCACCATTCAGCCTCAATAATTTTGAGGACATGCCACCATGAATCCCCCCAACTCTGGTGCCGCTGCAACATCAGCGATGACCGGTGCCATCCGCACCGAGTCCCGAAAGAAGTCCTCCGGCGCAATTGCGAAACGTGCGTGCGACCAATGCAAGTTCCGCAAGATCAAGGCAAGTAATATACTTAGGTTCCTACGGACCCCTTCCGATCTGGGATCCCCCTGTCTGCTTTTTATTTCCTTAGTTCTTCCCAGAAAAACCTCCGAGGTCCACCCGTGTATCCTGAACTGTCTTTCCGAGTCTGGCCGGCCGAGCTAATCGCCTCAGTAACTGCAGTGTAGTCTATCCCAACCATGCCGGGCATGTGTTTCCATGGGCTTTGAATGCACCTTTTTTCAACCGCAGAAGAAACGTGGTCCCACTGGACAGTGAGTTTGAATGCTTGCCCTGGCTTTGACTTGCTTCTTCTTTTCATGTTCATTAATCTAACCATTTTAATCCGTTGCGTATGTAAAGCCGTGTGTCTCAGATCCGGCAACAGCAGACCAACTTACCGGGGTTGAACAGCTCACAGAGCCAAGTAGCTTCCAACCCCCTCCCAGGTGCTTTCGCTTATCAAACGGAGTCACCATCCCGGGGAGATGGGAGCTCCAATGCCGTCCAGCCAATTCAGGATGCCGCACACTGGCCCATGCATAGTGAGGCCTCCTCGGTACCCGTGGAGCTTTCTCATCCTCAACCACCCGCCCCAATTGCCCCTAATTGGAGTTCCGGGGCCCCTCAAATTGAAACTCATAGTAATAGCGGCGTCAATTGGAATGAGCGCACTGATGTCGAATACTGGCTTCCAGATACACTGGATGCTCAGGTACCCGTGTTCGATTTTCCGGGCAGTAACATCTACCTGAAAGCCTCGCTTCCATCTATCATACAAACAGAGGCTGCTTCTGCAGGTCTACAGTCACACCCAGTAGAGGCAGCAAGTGTACCCATGTCCGGGCCCAGTGTCCTCCATCCACCCCCAAATGAAACAAACACGCTCTGGCCCTCATCCATTGTGGAAGCAAACATGATACCCTGGATTGACGTCTATTTTGATCGTTTGCATCCAACATTACCGGTGCTAAACCGTTCATCACTATTCATCCGAATGTTGTCCCAGGAGCATCGCAGAAACCCGCAATTTGGTGCCATGCTTCTCGCATTGTGCGCATTTTCCCTTACCCAACCAATTGAAATCGCCGAGCGACCGACGTCTACTTCTCGAGCCAACCAAGCTCGGTCCATGATGAACGAAGCGACCAAAATGCGAAGCTGCTCTGATTTCGGGGAACACCCAACAGTAGAAGCGGTCCTTACCAGTTTCTTCCTGTTCGGGTGCCTGTTTGGCAGCAACCAGCATAACGCCGCATGGCTCCGCCTAAGGGAGGCTCTCGACCTTGCTGCTACAATGGGGTTGAACAACCCGGATTCGTATCGAGATTTACCCAGCGACGAGAAGGGACAACGCTTACGGACGTATCTAGTTCTGTCAATTACGGAGAGGTACTGTACATTTGGATCGGGTTTCTTGGAGTTATCACTAACTAACAATTCCTACAGAGCTTATGCATTACAGCGAAGGCATCCCATCACTTTCTGGGGTCGACCAGGCTTCAGCATGCGACCTGTTCATGAC